TGATCTGCATAACCCTCCCTTACTGATCATCAACTACTACCAACACAACTACGTCTTCAGGAAGGTACAGAAAAAAAGAAGCCGCTGAGCCAAACAAACGAAGAAGCCAGAAAGCCAAATAGCCAAGAAGCCTAAAACCCAAGCAGCCAACTGAAACAAGGCAGAAGGCAAATGATGAAAATGATGGATAATGATGAAAGAACAGAAAACGATGAAAATGACAGAAATTTATAGAAAATGATGAGAACGATAGAAATATGATCAACCATGATGAAAATGATGAAAAATGACAGTAATGATGAAAAATGATAAGAAAAACATGAAAATGATAGAGAAAATTGAAAACGATAGAAAATGGTTGAAAATCATGACAAAGGCCAAAACACAAACACGCTCCAAGCCAGGACCACCTTCAAAAAAAGCACACACAAAAAAATGATAGAAAACATATGAAAACATCACAAAAAGATAGGCCCTCCAAGAAGACATGGGCGAGTCGTCAACCTGGACCGCCAAGCGCTGCAGTGCCAGAAGTGTAAGCCAAGCCCTTGCCCCAAAGCTGCTGGCAATGCAAGAAGTCCTCGTCTAACAAACATGCCACAGCGGCGATGCTGTCCTCATTCATGAGATTGCCCTGCGCAACAACCGATCAATGCACATCTTTGCGGTCTGGAACCTTCCTTTGCAGCAGACAGTCTTGCACATGCACCAGGACCAGTATGCACCCGGACCGGTGGAGACAGTCACAGAACGCAGCTGTCACTGAGCAAACCAAGCAAAATTCTGTCCAAGCATCAGCCCCAACTCCACGTCGCTAGGTCACATTAGCAGAGCTGCTGGCCAACACCATGCACTGGCTGAACTCTCAAAAAAGGATGATGGAACCCAAATACCGGTAAGGATGGTAATGATTAGAAGATAACATCGTTGCGATTCAATGGGGTTGAGGGATCAACAAATTTGGGGGGGTGAGAAATGCGAATAGCCAGCAACGAAACATTGGGTTTGCCATTAGGCTCTCTGTGAACCTGTTAATACTGAGACCTCCAGAAACGCTACGCATACGAATTGGGATTCCCGGCTCTTCCCGTTGTCAGGTTTGCTCCGCCAGGTGACCCAGCCTACTGTAAGCCAAACAGCCATTCAGTAACATGCCGTTGTCAATTTGTTGTCTCCTTCGCTGTTTTTTTCTCTCTTTCACCAGCTCATTATTTCACGGTTCCGTTGTTTCTGTTCTTTTTTTGTAATTCATGTCTTACATTGCGTTGTCGTGTATATCTTGCTCCTTCCTTTCCTTCCATCTGCCTTTCCTGTCTTTTCTTTCCAATTCCATTCCCTGCAATTTTCACATAGTTCCTGACTACGAGCAGTTTTTGCTTGATACTTGATACTTAGCGAATACTGAGCCAAACCGAAACCGGTGGTGATCGTAGCTCATTTCTCTTGATCCTCCTTCGACTTTTTTTCCAAACTCTGGGGTTCGGTTCTCGGATCTAAACCGCCTGCGAGCGATGAAGGACCTTTAAAAAAAAAACTGAAGTGGACAACACCATGGGAAATCGGAAGATAAGACCAACGGGGAAGAGACCAAGCGAGGAGCTGGCGAGGGAGGGCAGCGGTGGAAGAAGAACGAAAGAGGGAGGGCCCGCGCTTGTAGCCCTTCAGTACACACTCTCGTCTGTTCAGCCAGCAGAAGATTTTACGATTACGTTTCGAGATTCCCGACTTGACGTTGTCTGAAGACAGATCTCCGATTCATGGACGCCAACCTGTCATACTTTTACAGGCAGCCCTCCAAAGGAACCTCGGCCTGCTCCAGCACGGAGTAGGACTTGCTGATCGTACCATCTATCCATGTCCTGACACCGGCTCGATTTCGACGTGTGCCAAGTCACCAGCATTGGTGCCGCCAGCTCGACTGACACGTTTACCAACCTATAACTAGCATGTTTGTGCGTACTAGGGGCACCAACAATGCCAGGGCAAGGATTCGACAGGAATTCTCACTGCCTGGGTGCTGAGAAGACTGAGACATTGAGATCGTGTTTCTGACCAGAGTCAAAGTGCCATGTAACTTTCAGTTCAGAATGGCTTGGGCATCGGGCTGATTGGCAGCAGCGGTCCTGGTAAAGTGCTCCACACGCTGCAGGTCTCCCAGCCTCTGCAATCCGAAATTAAATGTGAAACTTTCCATCTTGGCTTGAACCCTTGTCATCTCAGAGCATAATGCCTTGGTGCTTCAGATGCTTCCCTGAAGGCTGCCTCATGGCTCGTCTTCAAGGCCTGCAGCTACAGCAGCTCGAAATGTTCACCTCAGACTCCTCGGACTTTGTGGACTGGCCTTGTACAGCTTGTTTCTAAGCGGCCTTGGCAGATCCCGTGACAGCACAATCCGAAATGCGGCAGACAGATAAAACATCTTGGGCTGAGATAGCGACTCCTGATCTGGGATCAGGCTGCCAGCAGAGTCCCACATGGCCTTTGTCAAGCTGTCCATACTCTGTACATAATATGAGGACCGACAGAGAAAGATTTGTCGCATGTCAGCTATTCTTGCAACCACTCCGAGCTGTTCAGCGAAACCGAGTATGCCTAAATAGCCTTGCCTTTTCCAGGAGGCAGAGATCCATCAACTGCTCATACCTGCTGAGACATGCTGAGACCTATCCTCCAAATTCTGTCCAGCACTTTGCTAGGCGTCTATTAGGCGCACTTGCTGTTGAGGACCGCCTCTACTTCAGACCATTGCGCACCTTGCCATCGATGCTCGATTTCTTCACGGGGTGGTTGCTCCAGTCAAGACCACGCACCCTCAGAATCCATGATGGCCCTGCCCGCGCTAAAAGCCTGACGTTGTCTGCTGCCCGTCAGGATCTCCCAGAAGGCCATGCCAAATGCCGATGTGAGATCCATGTCGAAGAACCTTTCCATACTTCTGAGAAGATGTAGCTACATGCAGTACGCTTGCCTGCCTCTTTCCTGCAAGTCTCTCAAATGCTGCAAGCAGTTCAGCTGAGCACAAGGAAAGTGCAGCTGGAATCCCTCGTAAAAGCATCTTAGGCTGCGGCCACGGTTTGTCTCCGCATGCTGCGGTGAAGCCTTGCAGGATGCGTCTGACAATCCCATACGGCGATACGCATTTTGGCGAATGTAACCTGAATAGTTTAACTGGTGGGGCCACGAATTTCCTGCAGGGCTTGGTCGAAATGTGCAGGAGAAGTATGACCCATTCCGCGATGTCAAACAAGAACAGGCAAACTATCAAGTCTTTCTCCTCAAGTCAGGCAGCCTTGCATAGCTGTGTCGACAAACTGTTCAGCAGCCTCCGGTTGTGCCACGGCTTGCGGTATGCAAAGCTTAGTGAAAGCAGTTGGCTCTTCTGTCCCTGCCTGATGCCAGTGTAGCGTTAGCAGCTCTGGAGCTTGTGCTCCCTTGTATAAATACCTACAGAGGGCACACGCACAGTTCTAGCAGATTCTACCATCGATTCCCAAAAAGTTCAGCAAGTCCATGGGTCACCGGACGATGCGTTTGCAGAGCTCCACCTGATCCCAGTCCTTCTCTTGGTCAGCGATTTTCTTGGTCGCCTCTGCTGCTCTCAACAAGCTGTGGGCTTTGTGAAGCTCTGCACAGCATACTTGCTATGCTCTGATCCTGCAATTTTTGTTCGAAGGCACATCTGATGCCCAACTTACACATGAACTGTTGCAAGCCAAGCGTTTTGCTTAGGACTTGTTTTGAATTCCCTGTCCAGTGCGCATTTTTTTTCAGGTCGCTTTATCGCGCCTGTTTCCACAATTGTTTAGGGCTGAACTTTAGGGTCGAGGGTATAGGAGTCAGTGTTGAAAGGTCAAGGCAGACTTTACGTTTTCAATTGCTGATGGCCACCTGGAGGTCCTCAGCTCAGAACAGACTCATCTTGGGTGAAGCCCTTGGATCCGGGTTGCTTCAGGGGTTCTGGATTGAGGGTGCGCGGTCTGGTAACAGTCAGGGCTCAGGGTAAGGCATGTAAGTTTGGGGTTGAAGGTCTGTGGCTAAGCTCGACCCACCCAAGTTTGGGTTTGGGTTTTTAAGATTTAAGGTATTCAGTATAGGGTTTAAGGTTGGTGGTCCTCAGATGTCGAATTAGGTTTGTGTGGTAACTTAACTACCGGGCTTGGTGGGAGTCGTAGGGTTTTAGGTTTAGACATTCCGGTTTAAATGTTGGGCTCTGCTGTCGAATACGACTTGTGGAGTTAGCCACGTATCGTCCACCTTTTGCTTAGGCACTGCTCTCCTTCAACGCCTGCTGCTGCTCCTTAGAGACTTGACTCCAAGACGTCCGTAACGAGGTTGTGGGAGATTCCTCCTCCCACGTTTCCCAATGCATCTTCTGATGTCGAATTCGACTCATTTCCTGTTAGGGCCATGCGCACAAGTCAGGACGCCTTGGCGTCATCCCAAAAACAGTTGTGTTCTCAGCATTCGGGCAATGAGGGCCTTTGTGTGGTGGGGTCCTAGGGCACAGGGGCGGGCGCGAGTTAGTTTGTTAGACAGACAAGACCGCAAATCCTGTGGAAATGTTAATTTCATGACAAAAAACAAACCTTTTCTCGGGAACCTTTAGTGGGGTCAGAAACTAGCTAACAGCTAGAGGAAACGTTACTAAACTATGGTTCCGGACAAGTTATTCGCAAGTTTCTTGTCCGGAAACAAACCTTTTTCGGAAACATTAGTTTTGCGTCCTGAATTAAGGCTTCTGGGATAAGTTAGGTTCATTAGAGGGAAACAAACCTTTCCCAGAAACCTTTCCTGGGGTCAGAAACTGACAGTTGTGGGAAATGTCAGCTTCATGCTAGAAACCAAGGTTTCTGGGAAGGTAAATTTCAATACAGTCATTAGAGGGTCACAAACTTTTTCCAGAACGAGTATGCCTGCAATCATTGCCGGGGCTAGCCACCCAGGAAGAAAGCCATAAACCGCAAGAAACTCGATGACAACTTGGAGCCACGAAATACGTGGCCCAAGACGCGAATGCCCTCAGGCCGGACATGCATAAAGTAACCCAAATACGTACGTTTAAGAGCCCTCAACAGGCCTTCAAGGGGAAGTATTTGAGATCTATAACACTGCAACACTCGGTTTTCAAGATCTCCAACTAAAACCGTGTGACCATGAAGGCGGCAGGACCTATAGCGAACCCTCTGCTGCTTAACGGGAAATGCTAGTTTCGCGCGAGAGCAGGCGGCTGTGCGGCCTGGGTTCTCGAAACGATATATGATGTCGATCTATATATATATGTCTTCCCAAAGACAGGATCCATAGTCCAATAAAAGGATGTAGAACATGTCTTCATTCAAAGGCTCATGTTAACATTACAGGGTTAACATTAGCTCCTAATAAGTTTATGCTATAAGAGCACTATATTTTGGAATAGGAGGTTGTGTGTTTATCGTGGGCGCATTATCTAATTCATGTATTTCTCTGCATGTATTCAATGAAAATAAAAAACTTTACGCTACGTATGGCTATGGTGTGAATCGCTGCTTGGCCCAAGCACCCCAGAAAACCATGGGTACGCGGCAAAAGCAGACCTGGGTGGGAATTTAGGGTGTGAAGCCGCTCCAGAGTCTTCCAGCGCAATGAAGGGAACGTTCTTTCGAAGGCGTTTTCGCATCAAGATAAAAGGAGTTGAGTAGCTGTGCGTTCACAGGCTATGAGCCCAACGTGGCCATTGCGCTAAACATGGATATGACAACTCGTCGTAGAAATGGGAAAGGACCTGGAAATAGAGCAGAAGTTGGTCCTTTGGAAATTGCTGACGGTACTGTTTCACATGCTGATGGGACGAGGGGAGAAGTTCAAGATACATCCGCTGACGCAGCGGAAAGTGAACGGCCTGAAACTTTGGCTTTCAATGCGAGCACTGGAGACAGCAGGGGTTCAGGGGCGAGTTCTTTGATAGCAACCAATCCTTTTTGGAGCGAAAGTGCGCAAGATGAAGCCAGGCTAGCTGCTGCACGTCCTGATTTTTTGGGATCCGCGGAGTCTAATCAGGTGAGCACTCCCGGTGGTTCGATTGAACTCAGAGCTGGAGCTCACACGAGAGCTTGGGTAGACCCATATCTTATGGACCAAATGTAGCTTTTCGAACCACTCTTGAACGGCGTACATCAGGGTGAAGGCGCTAGACCTGCTGCCACTAGGGAATAGCCGGGGCTGTCAACCAGGGAGCGGGAGATCCTCACTGCTATGAAGGAGGCAATGCAGCGGTTGGCAAGCTAGAACGAGGGTCTCATCAAACAGAACCATCTGCAAGAGAGAGTTCGGAAGCTGGAAGAGGAGCGATCAACCAAGCAGACTGCCGGGTGGCATTCCACAGAGGAGCCTCACGAGTTTGTTGAGCATAGCGCTTTGAGGCCACCAGAGGGGGATGGAGTAGGTATAGGAATCTACGATTGGGGCGATAACTAGGGAGTAGATTTGGATGCCTTGGGATCTTTCAAATACGAGCAGGGGTATCAGCAGGGGTACTTCGGCTAAGCAGACGTTGCAAGACATGTCTGCCAGTGCGGCGGGTGACCTGGGAGACGTGGGCGCTACTGGTTCAACGCCTATTCCAACATTTGGGGATTCACCTGCTGCGGCCCGTGCTGAAACTCCTCCCCCTAATCCTCGTAGACATTGGAGCCTTGGTTGTTACGCCCCAATTCTGCAAGGACCCCCTCCTGAGGATCCGGAGCACATTACAATTGTGAGACATGACGGGTTAGGGTTCCAGGTGAGTTCCTTATAATCCCCCTGCGATGTTTAAGGTTGGGAACGAATTCATGGGGACAACTCTTCCTAGAGTGGGACATGCTCAAACTTCAGCCTAATCAATCCTTTCTGCGTCGTGAGCTTCCTGGACCAGGTGGGCTAAGCTTTCCTAGTAGCAGAGGAGAGCACCCGGGCGGAGGGTTATGGGGCCAGAGCCTCCTGGGCTCACTCGAGATCCATATGCCCCCTGCGATAAGGCTTACTGGTCACTGCCTGTGCAACGAGGGCTATAATGTCGGATATAACACCCATGTCGTGGGTTTGGAGTAGAAGCACCGCTGAGGCCCGCTGGTGGTATCAAGTATGGATCCAGAGCACAGCGATAGATCGTGAATTGGTTAGACCTACCCCCACAAGTGAACTTCAGAGCCTTAGATTTAGGAGGTTAGAAAGTCGTGCTTATGCCATGCTGTTTGCTGCCACTCCAACCTCTATCAGAGACGGGCTTGTTGCAAATCGTGAGACGAATTGCATTGCTTTGCTGTTTCTTGTACTTCGAACGTATCAACCTGGCGGACTGCAAGAACGCACTGCTTTGTTGGAGACGCTAAGCAATCCTGGAACTACGAACAACCCAGCAGAGGCAGCGCAGAAACTTCGATCGTGGGGTCGTGCATTGAGCAGAGCCACATCCACGCAAATCAGTGCCCCAGATGCTTCTCTCATGTTACGTGATTCGCTGGCTGACCCCATACTCAAGAAACATCCACACGTCAGTTTTAGGTGTAGTCAGGCTAGGAATACGTTGCAACTGGATCACACACCCACATACATAGCGTTCAGGAGTTTGTGAATGTCATCCAGTCGGAGTTTGACATGTTGTCGCTGTCAGGATTGGGTTCCTCGGAAGGGAATAGGAAGCTCGAACTTGCAGCCGTGCAACAGCAGCAGCAGCAGCAACGGAATCAGGACACTAACATTGGAAAAGGAAAGGATGCCAGTGGAAAGGGCGCTGAAGCCAAAGGAAAAAGGAAGGGAGGGGAGCAGGTTTCCGGAGGCCCCTGATTGGCTCTTGCTTCGAAGCTTGCCTATAAAGGATCTGAGGGCAGCGGCCCATATCATATTCCCGGCCTCAATTGGAGGGCTAAGGAAGGCGTTGATGAGAGCCAAACACATTGTACTTATGTCTTCTCAGGAAGGACAAGAGCGGTCGAGTTTGCGTTGGGGAGTGAAGTTGCGGCGTTGAACCTAGACGTGCTGTTTGGGACGAATGTCTTGGACGAAAGAGTGTGCGCGGCTGCAGCTTCACTCTCCGGCACTGGAAAGGTGGACGCAGTAATTGGAGGACCTCCACGCTGCATCATTAGCATTCTCAGGGAGCGCGGATCTGGGGAGGGTCCTGCAGGTTCCGACGGTGGACCTAGACCAGTTCGGGGTAGGACGGGTTCCTTGCGGTTTGGACTTCCTACTAACACGAAGGAGGAACAGAGCATACCATTTTGGTTGCACGATTTCTTACTCTTCACCATATCGCTGATGAGGCCAATCCTTGGGGAACCTTGCGCGCTATGAAGAACCCAGAAGACCCCATGAACTATCTCCCAGAACATTGCAAACACAGCGATTCCTAGTTCGTGGGCTCGGCCTAAGACTCTTCACTTGTTGGAGGGCCCCCCTAGAAACCCCGACTCCTCTGACTCTGACTCCCTTAGTACCTGTGAGTGGCATTTGGCACGACTTGACCACAAGGAGCTCTCGGTCATACTATACGTAACACGCAAGCCATCCGTGCTGCTCACCAATCATTGGGAGTTGTTTCAGAACCTTCCTGAGCGGAGGCCCCGGGCTC